GACTTCTGTCTGTGACCCTGGAGAACTGCTGCCAGTCACAGAAAACAATACTGATGGAAGGGCTAAGAATCTCTCTAACCTGGCATAAGGAAGCCTCTCAAGTTTCTAGCTGCTTAACTTGAAAAGTTGCTCTTAAAAGTAATTAGCCAGCATTGTATTACTCCAAGACCTTCACAGCAGTTCGTTGCAATATTTGAAAGTCATATTCTTTTCATAATCCTTGGTGAAGTAATAGTTTTTAGTTCCTTTTAGAAAATAATTAGATGTTGCAAGCTGATGCCTTGCAGTACAAAACCCTTTCCCCCTCCAGTCCACTTTGCCATCATCTCTGCACCCTCAACAGAACATGTGGCATTAACACGAGACACAGCATGAACCAGCACTTGAGCCATGTGATATTTCTCCTGTACCTTTTCATAGAATCATAGAATTAGAAGAGACCCCCAAGAACCAACTCTCTGCCATGGCCCTGTTAGAAGAAAAAATAACCACAAGGTGATAGTTGTACTGCAATAGGGATGAAGTTATGCTTCCCCAAATTACAACTGCAATGGAAAGCAGTTATAGCTTTCTTTACGGGGTGGGATTAATTATAATAGAATCATAGAGTTGGAGGAGACCTTGTGGGCCAAGTTCAATTACCCCTAAGAGATGGGTGGTCCTAATCCACATGTTATAGATTCCTTCACAAAACTGATTTGTCACATAGAGATCATTTGTGATATGGAAGGAAACCTGCTTTTATTCCTTTAATGTGTGTCTGTCCATGTTCTTCTCCAGAAAGGAGAAATGATCACTGTTCTCTTATTCCAGTTCTTTTTCATAATCCTTGGTGAAAACAGGCACTCTTTCAGTTACTCTGTAAATCCAGCTAAATTCAGTGAGGTTGACTTTCAAGGAAGCCAGAAGATAAAGACATCTCTGTCTAAACAGCAAGTCTAGGAGAACCTCTGCTAGAAACCTTTTAACACTTGTTAGGCAGTACTAAGACAGTTCTTGTTCGAATACACATTTGAGTTGATTTCCACCTATGGTGACCTTATCATAGGGTCTTCTTTAAAACTTTATTGAGAGGAGGGTTGCCTATTTCTCCCTTTCTAGACTGAGATAATGTAATTTTATTCTAGATTGTCCACTAGTTCCCCATGGCTCAGCAAAAATTTGGACCATGGTTTCCTACCATTTTAATCCAATGAATACTCAGATCTCTACAACATGCTGTGAGGTGTATGACTCAAAATAAGGTAGTTTAATTCAATTCAAAAGTACACCTAGAATTGTCCTCTTGGGAAACTCTACCATCACTTCTGAAAAATACTAACAACAGAATTAGAGATGTTTATTGACTTTTCTCCATCTCAGGATGCTATAAGATCTGTTGTAAATGTCATCTGAGATATCCCTTGGATGCAGAAGAAAATGATGAGTAACCCTGAAGAAGTATAGTGGAATACCTCTGTAGCAGAAGGAAAAAAACCAGCTGTCCAAGGGCATTGAAATGACCATCAAACTCCTGGAAATGGTCCCTTGGTTAGAATGCCTTCAGCTCTTGACTGCAACTCCTCCTCCTTCTGTTCCAGCCACCAAGAAACACAATTAAAACTATCTAACCAGAACATTTGTAGGGTTCTTTGGAGAGCGAAACGTTTAATAGAGTTTCTAACTGAAGCTTAACTCAATGAAGGCAATAATTGTTTCTATCTCCCCACATCCACCCACTTCAAGTACTGTCTTGTCTGACCTTCCCTGAAGCACTTTCTCAGGACTTTTGCCAAAAATCATCTGAAAGCATTGTTAAAGACATCCATACAACAGAGAAGGGGTGCGTTTCTGCTACATTATGACATTGGGAAGGAATGTCTTCCCTTTTTTCCATTATTAAAATTAAAATGATCAGCCATTTAGATCCACACATTTCTTAACTTTTCATGTGATACTGCTAATCGTATTTCCAACATTCAGTTGATATTCATTTGGATATTTTTGCTGATGGAGGGAGAAGGGCAGCTGGTGTTGGTGGAAGCTGTTGCCAGTCTTTCATGCATCTAGATCTACTCCATCAGATTTCTAACTCTTGCGTTCCTCACATTTTACTCAGTAAGTGCAATTAATATCAGTATGCATTTTCTAATTCCACCATTGAAGGCAACGTCTTCCTGGTCCTGTGCTTTAGATTTAGAATTGCGCATCAACTAAGGATGAGCTGAAAGATTAGGATAGTAATAGGTGTTTACTAGCTAAGGAACAGCTGTTCTTACATTTGGCGTCAAAACTGCACCAAAAGCTGCAATTCTATGCACAGGTACCAAAGCACGAGCCCCATGGAAACCAATTGTATTTACATTAGAGTAAACTGCCTATATACCTTAGAGGCATCTGAGCCTATCTCTAATTACTAGTACTTGGATGGGAAACCATCAACAGTTCCAGTTGCTGAGGGCTATATTTCAGAATAGAATGAGCAAAAAACCCTTCTGAGTATTCCTTGCCTAAGAAAACCTTGTGCATTTCATAATGTGACAGGCGACTTGAAGGGACTTACAGGAACAAGCATGCAGAGGATCATTTTAACTGAAGGCTGGACTCAGTCCTATTTGCTAATCCCTGCTACACTCTAACCATTAAATCAACTGAGTTTATCATTCTACACGTTGATGCATTTGATTCAATGGGTCTCCTCCAGTGGGATCAAATCAACAGTTCTCCAGTTTCTGCCTTTCTATTTAACTTGCTATTCTTTGCAGTGCAATAGATTTCATTCTGACTGAACCAATTAATTATCCCCTAAGGCACTTGACTCCTTCACTTGCTTTCAACTGCAGTGTGCCCTACAGTGCATCTACACTGTGGAATCAATGCAGTTTGACACCACTATAGTGGCTCAATGTGGTGGAATCCTGGGATTTGTAGTTTGGTGAGGCACCAGCATTCTTTGGCAGAGAAGGTTAAAGATCTTGTAAAACTACAATTCTTGGGATTCCATACTATGGAACCATTGGAGTTAAAGTGGAGTCAAACTGAGGTAATTCTACAGTATAGAATACCCTCTGGCTGTAGAGACAGATCATGGTAACAGCAAACTATCCATCCAATCAATCCTCCTTGTATTCTAGTCATTTTTACACATCCCACTCTCCCAGTTCCATCCCCAGAGTTGCAAAGGACCCTGACACTTTATGTGGAGGGGTTCACAACTGCACTACATGAAGAACCTGTGAGCAAAAAGGACTTGCTTGTGTGTGAAGGTCCAATCACATGCAAGGGGGGATGCCTGCTAGCCTGATACCCTTCAAAAGAGGGAAATCACATATTCCTGTATTGCCCCAGAAGAGAAAAAAAAAAATCTAAGGTTAGGGGAAGGAGGATGCCAAAGACCCAAAGTTTATTGGAAACAAAGTCATGGGATGTATCCATACTGTAGAATTTCTAAGTCATGTTTATTTGGGAGTAAAGGTGGAACACTAATCAAGATGAAAGAAAGCTATTCCTGACAAAGTGGCATGGATGGGAGTGAAAAGAAGGAGGAAGATGTGATCCTATGGGTGCACCATCTACAACTATGTGTTGAATGCTTTCATGGCTGGAATCACTGGGTTGCTGTGAATTTTCCGGACTGTATGGCTATGTTCCAGAAACATTCTCACCTGACGTTTTGCCCACATCTATGGCAGGCATTCTCAGAGGTTTTGAGGTCTGTTGGAAACTAAGCAAGTGAGGTTTATATATCTGTGGATTGCCCAGGGTGAGAGAAAACCTCACTTGTCTAGTTTCCAACAGACCCCTCAACCACTGAGGATGCCTGCCATAGATGTGGGTGAAATGTTTTATGATTTAAATCAACAATTCTATGTTATTATCATTATGTTAAGTTTCTATATGTGAGGCATTACATTTTGTCATAATTTTATAGGGAACCGCTTTGAGTCCCGCTGGCGTGAGAAAAGGGTTTTTTTGGGTTGTATATCAGGAACAACTTGAGAAACTGCAAGTTGCTTCTGGTGTGAGAGAATTGACCACCTACAAGGACATTGCCCAGGGGACACCAAGGACATTGCCCAGGGGACACCCAGATGTTTTGATGTTTTATCATCTTGTGGGAGGCTTCTCTCATGTCCCCACATGGGGAGCTGGAGCTGACAGAAGGAGCACATCCACACTCTCCCCAGATTAGAACCTCCAACCTGTCAGTCTTCAGTACTGCTGGCACAAGGGTTTAACCCATTGTGCCACTGGGGGCTCCTGGTATAGAAGTGGTATAGTACAATATACTGGTAATGATATATAATGCTAATATTGTGCTATATTAATAATATATTTTATGTACATATAATGATCATATTGTAATGTAACAATATAATGGTTATATATTGTATATGTAATATTAGTAATAATATTTCAGTATAGTGATATAGCACAATATAGTAATATAACTATATATACTAATATTGTACTGTGCTAATAATATAATATATTGTATGTGCATATAACTTATAAGCTATATGGGGTGATTTGAATGCAATATTTCTGCTTCTTGGCAGGAGGTTGGTCTGGATGGCCCATGAGGTCTCTTCAAACTCTTTGATTCTGTGATTCTAAGCTGCTCTGAGTCCCCTTTGATATGAGAAGGGCAGCATATAAATATCATAAATAAATAAATAAATAAATAGCGGCAGAATAGAATGCTTCTGGAACATGGCCATCCAGCCCGGAAAACTCACAGCAGCCTACCACTTGAACTGTCCTGTCTCAATGCTATGGATTCATAGGAGATGTAGTTTTACAAGGTCTTCTCTGCCAAAGAAGAGGTGCTTCACCAAACCGCAACTCTCAGGATCCTATAGCCTTGAGCCAGGGCTGTCAAACTGCAGTGTAGATCTCCTCTGTGCACTCCTGTGAGCCAAGCCAACGGGGACTTGCACCTATTAGGAGTGAGTGTCAAAAGAGAAGGAAAGAAGGGAGGAAGAGAGGAAAGGAGAGGCGAGGATGAGAGGATGCCCTACCTCGAGATGGGAAAGCGAGGAAGCCGCTAGCTGCCTCCGTCTCCCAGGCGGTCCCTGCCAGAGTCAGAAAGCGGAGGGTCCCCAGCCTCGAAGGAGCCCCGGACCATGGTGGGCTGTTGGGGGGCTCAGCCTGGCAGCAGCGTCGCCCACCGATCTCTGCTCGCCCTCCTCCACCTCCTCTTTGCCGGCATGCCTTTCCCCTCTGGCTGGAAGGAGCCTCCTCGCCTGCTCTTGCCCTCCTCCCAAGCTCTCGGAAGCCCTTTCAGCGCCGAATTAGTACTCGAGAGCCCGGCACTCTTTCTCCACCCCCAGCTCGCCGCCCCCTCCTTTGCACAGACACCCCCCCCCCTCCTCGCCCCGATGATGATGACAGCTCCTTCCTCCCAAACCAGTGAGCGCCTGGTTGCTTGAACCGGAGTCGAACCGGATTGTGAGAGAGGGACTTGGAGGGGAGAGAGGCATTGGGGGCGGGGGTGGAAGAGATAAATAGAGAGAGAGATCCCAGCTTTACTTTTCTTGATCTCCCCCCTCCCCAACCTAAACGAAACAGCAAGTGAAAGCGACAGGGAATCAGAAGCCGGTCGCTCCAGATTTCAGTCTCTCCTTGGCCGCCCTCTTGAGTCAACAAGAGCTTCTCTTTCTCCCGTGTTCACCCTCAGAGTAAGGCAGCGATTACCCCAGAGACAGCTGCAGGGAAATGTCACACACATGGGTTTTTTTCCCCCGAGGAAGTGTCCCTCAAGAGTGACTTCGCTTCCAAGGGTGTAAGAGGAACTGGACTCGGAAAGGCTGACTTCGACATAGTATTGTGGTGGTGAGAACCTTACAACCGAATCATAGCACCATAGGGTTGGAAGAGACCACAAGCGCTAGAGAGGAAAACACAGGCAAAGACCCCCCCCCCCCACCCCCCAGATGGACATCCAGTGTTTGCTTACAGAGAAGGAGACTCCACTAACTCTCTGAACAAGCTCTGTCTGGAAGTTCTTCATTTTTAGGTATCATCTCTTTCCATTTCAATCCATTGCTCCATGTCCCAGTCTCTAGAGCAGCAGGAAACAAGCCTGCACTCTTTTCACAATGACATCCTTTCAAATATTGAAACATGGCTATCCTGTCTCTTCTCAACCTCCTCTTCTCCAGGGTAGATAATACCCAGTTCCCTCAGCCATTCCTCACAGGGGTTGGCTTCCAGAGCTTTGATCATTTCCAAGAACTTTGATCAGTATTCCAGGTGAGTTCTGGCCAGAGCAAAATAGGTTGGGACTTCCCTGGATCTAGACCCCACACCTTTATTGATGCAAACCTTCAAGGCATTTCCGATCTAGTAGACAAGTTTGGAGTTGGTTTTCCTTTGATCCAAACCCTAGTCTCCAGAGTTGTAGCCTTAACCATTAATCCTCAGCATCGCAGAGCTACTCCACTGTGGAAGAAGTTCCAGATAACTTAAACGGCTATATGTGAAATGTGAAATGAGTGAAATCACTTCAGAGATGTAGCCCAGGGACTTGGGGATAAGAGGAGTTCGGGTAGCCTAAGATTTTTAAATAAAGATGGATGGATGAACCGAAGATAGACCAGGCATAGGCAAACCTTCTAACTCGGGGGCCTGCATGCTCCCTGCTAAGAGGACTGACTGCCCCGTGATGGAAAGAAGGAAGGGAAGGAGGAAAAAAAGAGAGGAGGAAGGACGAAAGGGAGAAAGGGAAGGATGGAAGTAAGGAAGGGAAAGAGGAAGGAGAAAGGATGGAAGGAGGGCAGTAAGGAGAAAGGAAATAGAGAAGGAAAGACAAAGGAGAGAAGGAAAGACAAAGGAAAGGAAGGATGAAAGCATGGAAGGGAAGGAAGGATAGATGAAAGGAAGGAAGGAAGGGAAAGAGGAAGGAGAAAGGATGGAAGGAGAAAGAGGGAAGTAAGGAGAAAGGAAAGAGAGAAGGAAAGAAAGACAAAGGAAAGGAAGGATGAAAGGGTGGAAGGGAAGGATGGAAGAAAGCGAGAGAAGGATGGAAGGAGGAAGATGGAGGTAAGGAACTAAGGGAGAGAGGTAAGGAGGAAGAAAGGAGAAGAAAGGGAAGACAAAGAGAAGAGAAGGATAAAAGGAAAAAAGGAAGGAAGGGAAGGAGGAAGGAAAGAGAGAAGGCAAGATGAAAGGGTGTACTGGAAGGAAGGATAGAAGGAGAATGAGGGAGGTAAGGAAGGGAGAGAGGAAGAAAAGAGAGAAGGAAGAAAAGACAAAAGGGAAGGAAGGCTCGATGAAAGGATGGAAGGGAAGGATGGAAATGAAAAAGGAAGGACAAAAGGGAGGAAGAGAAGGATGAAGGAAGGAAGAGAAGGGAGGCAGTAGGAAGGAAAGACAGAAGGAAAAAATAACAAAAGGGAGGAATGGAAGGAAGGAAGGAAGGAAGGAAGGAAGGAAGGAAGGAAGGAAGATGGAGGTAAGGAAGGGAGGGAGGGAGGTAAAGAAGGGAAGGAGGGAGGGAGAGAAGGAAGAAGGAAGGTTAGGATGATGTGAGAGAGGAAGGGCTGAGAAAAGAGTCCAAAGGGCAGCATCTGCCACCCCTGGGTTTATCCATACCTGGGGTAGACCAATAGATGGATGGAAATGGAATGATATATGAAGAGAGAGAGGATAGATAGATAGATAGATAGATAGATAGATAGAGAGAGAGAGAGAGAGAGAGAGATAGAATGATGGACGAAGAGATAGACTTATATGAGGTTAGAAAGGAAGATGGATGAATGGATAGATGATAGTTCTCTCAGTACACTAGGTATTTCCTGGCAGGATCCAACATGAGAGGAGTTCCAGTGAAAGCTGAGGGTCTGGCCAATTCCTCAGGCATCGTTGTGGATAGTTACTGAGCATGTTTATCAGAGTGAGACACCCATTCTTTCGGTAAACAGAGACACTGCGTGGATTTACTGCGAGGGGGCTGTCCTCCTTCCAAGAGGCCATGATCTGCCCGGAACAGACTGTGAATGTACCACGGAAGGAAAGGAGGAGGATTGATAGTGGAGACGCACATCCAATAGCGGGATTTCCAAGCAGTTTAATACTCTCTCGGCTTCCTGCGGCTGTAAACTCGAAGGATACTTGCGCGTCATGCTTGTGGTGAAAGGCCAAGCGTTTGATAGCCTAATAAAGAAAACAAGGGAGCAAGCTTGTTTTCTGCTTCCTTGGAGACTAGGACGCGGAACAATGGCTTCAAACTACAAGAGAGGAGATTCCATCCGAACATGAGGAAGAACTTCCTGACTGTTGGAGCCGTTCAGCAGTGGAACTCTCTGCCCTGGAGTGTGGTGGAGGCTCCTTCTTTAGAAGCTTTTAAACAGAGGCTGGATGGCCATCTGTCAGGGGTGATTTGAATGCAATATTCCTGCTTCTTGGCAGGGGGTTGGACTGGATGGCCCATGAGGTCTCTTCCAACTCTTTGATTCTATGATTCTATGAATATCTGCCTGGGAATTGGGTCAGTTATAGCTTATAGAAGCACAACCTCTTATGACTGGAAGGTCTACATTAAGTGAGTGTTGAGGCAAAGACAGAACAGCTTAAAGAAAAGAGCAAGACGGGGTGCTGAAGCTCATGTAGAGACCATCTACAGCAGACATGATCAAACTTGGGCCCTCCAGGTGTTTAGGACTTCAACTCCCACAATTCCTGGTCTCAGGCCCTTTCCTATAGATCCAAGCTTAAGCGGCTGAGGGGGAAAAGGAAGGGGCCTGAGGCCAGGAATTGTGGGCGTTGAAGTCCAATACACCTGGAGGGCCCAAGATTGACCATGCCTGATCCACAGTGTGGAATTAATGGGACACCACTTTCACTGTCATGGCTCAATAGTATGGAACCAAGGTATGACCTCCTCTGTTAAAGGTTGCTGGAAGCTCTCCAAACTACAACTTCGGGATGCCATAGCTTTGAGCCATGGTGTCAAACTGCATGACTTCTACAGGGAAGGTAGGCGACGTGCTCTAAGGCAGCTTTTTCCTCAGAGAGATTTCAGCACCCTGGACAGCGCCTCGCTTCTCTCCCTTCGTTTCTTACTTGAGAGGGAAAGAGGCGGCTGGTTGTAAGAAGAGCTGGGAAAAGGGCTCCCTGAAGGGTTGTGTCAAAATCTCTGCACCCCCTCACCACCTCTCCCCCCCTTCCCCGGTGTCAGTATTATGGCTGGTCGAGGGACTCACTTCAATTGATTTTCGCGCGACTCAATAAACATGAGTTTATCTGCTTCTGAGTTTGACAAGCTTACATCCGTCTCGCTGGAAAGTGGACTCATTTTCGGATTCTCCAAATCCTTCTTTAAACTGCAGGGTGCGCTTAATTTATTTACACAAAAAAGGGATGTTCAACCTATGCGTATGTGTGAGAGAGAAATTGAAAGAGGGAGGTAAGGTAGAAAAAGGAGGAGGAGAACATGCAGGAGGAGAAGAAAGAGGTGGATGGTGGAGGCACTAAAGCAGAAGGGAGAATAATATATTAGTTGTATTGTCGAAGGCTTTCATGGCCAGAATCACCAGGTTGTTGTAGTTTTTTGGGCTGTATGACGATGTGCTAGAAGCATTCTCTTCTGACGTTGGCCTGCATCTGTGGCAAGCATCCTCACAATCTCCGAGGATGCTTGCCACAGATGCAGGTGAAATGTCAGGAGAGAATGCTTCTAGAACAGTGTTTCTCAACCCTCCTAATGCCATGACACCTTAATATGGTTCCTCATGTTGTGGTGACCACTAACCATAACATCATTTTTGTTGCTACTTCATAACTGTAATTCTGCTATTATTATGAATCGTAATTTAAATATCTGATAATGCAGGATGTATTTTCATTCACTGGACCCAATTTGGCACAAATACCTGATACACCCAAATGTGAATACTGGTAGGGTTGGAGGGAGGGATTAATTTTGTCATTTGGGACTTGTAATTTTTTATTTTTATTGTGCATTTTCCTGTGTATTTACATCGAAAGAGTGAGAACAAAGGTTTTTAAGAGAGAAAGTGTAGAAGGAAGTGTAAGAGGGACTTGTAATTGATAGGATTTATAGTTCACCGACAATCAAAGAGCATTCTGAACTCCACCAACAATGGAATTAAACCAAACTTGGCACACAGAACTCCCATGGCCAACATAAAATACTGGAAGGGTTTCTTGGGCACTGACCTTGAGTTCTGGAGTTGCAGTTCACCTACATCCAGAGAGCACTATGGATGCAAACAATGATAGATATGGACCAAACTTGGCATGAATACTCAATATGCCCAAATGTGAACATTGATGGTGTTTGGGGAAACAGACCTTGACATTT